GTCATCACATTCACGTACAACAGACCACTGAACTTGCGTTGAATAAACGATGACCATATTACATTTAGGTACCTAAGGCATACAAATATGATACAAAATTTGGTATATTATTAAAAATACAAATTGCAAAATGCAGAAGACTTCTCGAGATGGCAGTTTAAATATCCTCATTTTCAGTTGCGTCATTCACAGATTTTATCACAGAATTATTTTAGAACAAATCCAATGTTGATTTCTAGGACAGTTGGTCGTTCTAGAATGTTCCTCAGTCACAAAAGGAAATTAGTTTGTTATAGAAGTTATGTATAAGTTTATTTGTTAAAAAGTTGCAGTGAATGTTTTACATTGAAGAAGGTATAACGCAGGAACAGCGATGTAGGTACTTACATGCCTATATACTCAATAGAATGTAATAGAAAAGATTGTGTCAAACATGCGAGCATTGTAGGTATACGTGACAGATGCTTAATATGAAAGATGGTGTACCACCAAGCACACACAGCCCAATTTTCATGTTTATTGTCTTTGTTGATATGATGTTTTAATAAAGACCAGTCTGATGATCTATACTCCGCGACATTTAAAAGTTGTCCTGTATAAGTGAATGTGACAGATGAATGACAGATGATTTACTCGTAGAACGGATACGGAAAGAGATAACAGTCTATAGAATTGCAATCTAATTTGAGCAATTGGCGTAATTGAGTGCCTCAGTTTCGGTGCGTCAGAGTCATATCTATCTCGTATTTGTATAATTATAATACAATCTCGGACAACCGGAGTTAAATTCTCGGTGCTGGCACCAAGTGAGGAAAGCTGCCTATTTTAGAAATAATAAAAAAAACGTTTCGAAGTTATGAGAACTCTACCAATCCACATTGGGGTAGCGTGGAGGACATGCCCTAATACCCTTGGTACAGAGGAGGCCTTTTTCTAGCAGGGGGACATAATTATGTATATAAGCTGTTACTTTACCTTATCAAAAAATGTTATTATAGCACTGACTACTCATTACAAAAGGGTTACTACTATTCGAAGAAGATAATAAAATTAATAAATGATACTAGTACAAATATCTCAAGAATTATAGTTCAAAGAACTTGAAAAAGTTACAGAAAAGAGTACTCGTAGGAACGCAGAGATAAATCTTGTACGAAGCGAACAATCTGCGGATTCAAAACTACAAAACTAACACGCGCTGGGATAAATACTGCACAGCGCATACTCCTCTCGCCCTATATTAATGTTTGCCGGGTTACGGCCGAAAGCTTTAACTAAGCTTTTCACTACTCTGTACAAACATCCCATGTTCCTGCCTAGACCTTGTTAATTCCTATAGCGCGGGATGTCTCAATGTGTTCTAAAACAGTCATAGATTACTTTGATGACGTTCATTGTTATTAAGTTAGACAACAGAGACAACTTTTTCTTATTATCGTATTAAGAAATTTAAAATTCCTCAATGTGAAAAGTATTATTTCTCAATGATTCAAAAGATTTAATAGAAGATTGAGACTAGACATAGAATTGTGTTTTGTTTAGAAGTACTTTGCAGCTAATCCAACATTCTGCATTCGAAAAAGTATGTAATATTTTGTACAAACTCAGTGCAACGGTTAAATCAAAGGTCACTGAGCGAATTCAATTCGCAAACAAATAATCATTGCCCACGGACAGTAATATTTAAAAAAAAAGTAGTTTAGATACATTAGCTAGGCTATATTTTCTTAAATATACCATGGCCAACGTATCTTAACTAAATAAAGATATTAAACTGGGTGAACACTTTAATATCTTTATAAAAATATACTCATGGTTCTCCGATAACAGGTTTGTTAAGTTTTCCCAGACGCTTCGGGAGGTTAATTAGCTTTGTAAATTTATTTGAACCACACACCTTACTAGAGTACAAAAGGCCGGCACTCGTATAATAGTGAATGCGTCGATTTAGAAAATTACCAACGGTCGTAAAACTTGGCCCGCTTTATATTTTGGGCCCGTGCGACAGGTTAATCAAAATTAAACCGCCCGGCCCATCTGGTCCCCTGGCTTATCTTTGCGAATTATAACCAACCCCGATTTTAACTCTGTATAGGTACTTACGTAAGTGCCAGATAAGGCACTTAGCCGCGTGGCGGACGCCGTTCCACCATTACGTCTATATTAAAGTAAAATTTTATAAGTACGTTTAAGTATCCATTATTTTAGGAAAATTAAGCAGTGATGGTTTCCTTTTCCTAGTGAAATTTTGAAGGAAATCGTAAACACTGCTTACAGCCGATTATTTTCGGAACTTCATTTTGAAAAAACACATAAAAAAGTCTTCCCTTACAAAAAAGTTACCTTTCACATATTTTTAGGGTTCCGAGCCCAAAGGGTAAAACGGGACCCTATTACTAAGATTCCGTTGTCCGTCTTTCTGCTATCTGTCTGTCTGTCTGTCTGTCTGTCTGTCTGTCTGTCTGTCTGTCTGTCTGTCTGTATTTCTGTCTGTCCATCTGCCTGTCTATCTGTCTGTCTGCCTGTCTGTCCGTCTGTCTGTCCGTTTGTCCGTCACCAGATTGTTTCTCGTGAACCGTGTGAGTTAGTCAGTTGAAATTTTGACAGATTATGTATTTCTGTTGCTGCTATGACAACAGATACTAAAAAACAGAATAATAAATATAAGTGAGGCTCCCATACAACAGACATGATTTTTTCCCTCGTTTTTATAGATAATCGTACAGTACCTATTGTGCGCGAGTCTGACTCGCACTTGACCGATTCTTAATGATTCGTTATAATCCTCTAAGGATGAATAATGCATTTATTATGTGAATGAAACTTCAATACATAAAGTAATAGAGCCGTTCGATAAGTTCTTCAGTAAAAAGGAACCAAATTCCTTCATTCATTTAAGCATTTCTAGAAACATAATTTTTCAAATGTTTTATGGTCATAAATACGTCGATAATATATTACAGTATTTTTTATTTCTGCTGCATTTATTTGTTGTTATAGCAGCAGGAGAAATACATCATTTGTGAAAATTTCAAATGTCTAACTATTACGGTTCATGACATACAGCGTAATGACAGACGGACAGACAGACAGCGGAGTCTTAGTAATAGGGTCCTATTTTACCTTTTGGGTACGGAATCCTAAAAAGTATCCTAAAATGCCGTATATATCTGTTTTTATAAGTACTACCTTCACCGTTTTGAGATCAAGAAACGATATGAATACAACGCAAAATTTGTCATTAGACATTACACGTCAATACACATAAAGAAAACTTCACTACCAAACAATAAAGTATGCGTCATAAATAAAGAATAATTCTTTAAACATCCAAATGAGGGAAGTACTGCGATCTAATAGAATAAATAAATAAACAAATAAATTTTTCGGACACATTTTTTACACGACGTTTTCTAGTCCCAAACTAAGCAACGCTTGTACTATGGGTACTATAAAACTGATAAATTTATTTAAACATACTTTTCTTTTGTAAATAAATACATATTATAGACATATAAACACCCGGACACTGGAAAAACACGATATTCATCACACAATATTTTTCCAGTAGTGGGGATCGAACCCACGCCTTCTGGCGCAGGAGGCAGGGTCACTACTCCTCACGCCAATCGGGTCGTCATGAAAAGACTAGCGTAAAGAAGTATCATACTTTTGAGTTTCGCCTGATGAGTTAGGTAGCTGGGGTCCAGTTTATAAAAAGGTGGCAACTGGCAACACATCTAGAACGCTACGGGTGTTGCAAATGCAGCGGCGGGTTATCACTTAACATCAGGTGAATTGATAGCTCTAGCTATCTTACCCGTATCGGAAATTATTTTGAGGATTTTCTCGTGTATTATTCTCTTTTAAACTACACTGCTTTGAACTACATAGCAATAGTCACAGGTTAGACTGAGGAGTTCGCATCCCAATATCTTGTTTAACGCGACCTCCTTAAGAGCTTTCTATTATTTATATGAAAATGAATTTCCCATCCGCAGCTACCGGCTACGACCCAATGGAGATATGCATCGAGAACTGCGCCCAATGCAAGAAGATGCTCGGAGCCTGGTTCGAGGGCCCCCTCTGCGCAAAATCCTGCATCAAGTTCAAGGGGAAAGTGATACCTGAATGCGAGGACTTTGCTTCGATCTCGCCCTTCCTTAACAAGTTGTAAGGCGGAAACGCGAGGTCGCAATTTACTATAGGAACGAAATACTTCATAAACGAAGTAACAACTCCGTCGCGACGTGCCAAAGTAATAAATACTCTTTAATTCGACTAAGCTAAGTGCCCGTTGTTGTTTTTAGATTTATATCTTAAATATATGTTACGTTACAGGGTATAAATGTGTTACTTAGTTGTTAAAGCAATAAAATATGATGAGTTTTAAAGGTCGTTTTGTATTTAAGACTGAAATACCGTCTTTTAACGAACCATCACCGAACGTCTTAATTGACAGAACCGAGTGGAACCATAGGACCCAACAGGGGTCAGTACAGCAAATATCATATTATATTTAAAGTATATTTATTTACTGTACCATAAAATTATGCGGTGATAACTTTTAGACATCATTTGAATTCGCAATCCAACCCCCGAAATGCGACGCTAAAATATATAATTGGTGTATACGACTGCTTTATTCCATTTTGAAATATAATGAAAAAGAAAACGACAAGTCACAATTCCAAAATATTTACTTATCAATTACATTCCCTTAGAACCTATAAAGAACGAATAATAATTAATTCTTTACATTTTCTTAAGTTTAAAAAACCACAATGTCATGTTCAAATGCATTTGAACGTATTATAATCTGCAAACAATTCAACTTATTAATATAGAATTATTAATCTGTAATGTTTTTTAAAAAAAAAGTACTTCAAGCGTGAGTGGTGAAACTTAATAAAAATTTCAACTTAAATATTACTATGGACATTATTTGTCCATTTTTATTGCAAATAATCACGACCGTTCGCGTGGTAGAACGGTGGTCAGTTGACGGGCACTTCTATTGGCGGTGCCTCCAACTCCGCCGGTGGTGTTTCGATCGATGCCGCGTCAGCGGACGGTGTTGCTAGAACAGAGGTTATTAAGGGTAAAGAGATGAGTTGCCATATTCAAAAATATACACAAAATTACATGGGGGAAAAGGATACAATATTCATAACCATTTACTGATCAATTCGGTGTCAGAGAAGACGTAACAATCGATAAGTCATTGCGATTCCTACCTAAATAAAATTTAACGAACGTGTCAAGTGTTGCCCAATACTTTTGCAACGGCTCGAGTTATTGATGATTGTTAGCATATAACACATAATCATAAACACAAACACCCAGACCCATTATATATATTACATAAACTACTTCATTAAACTAAGAGAGTAACAGTTCAAGCATTGTTTTATATTTAGTTGGGTAGTGTATCAATCAAAGCCTAATTCGCCATACGTCGGATTTGCAAACTTGAAACAACAATACTATTTTACCGACATTTCTTTTACCTAATGGAAATTGATAAAAACCGCCCATTGACAGCCAAACACTAACGGAGTGTTGCCATCTTTAATAGAGTAGGTCTCCGATTAATTCATTTATTGTAGGATACGAAAAAGTATACACATGAGACACATCACACCATTCGATGAGTAAGTGTGACCAGTCGCGTTACGTACAGTCGATTTAGCAAATTATTAACCACGCTATTATTTCCTGAGATGTTGAATGAACGCTGGTTTGTAATTGCACTCCTTCTAAATGTACCTAAAATGACTACGAATATATATTCTACTCGCGGACCCGACAGACGTCCTGTACACACGACTTAAATACGACAACAAAGAAAAAAAAATATAGTGGACCGAATTATGAACCTAAACCATTCTCGAATCGAACCGGAAGACACACAAAAAATTTAATTTAGGAGTTCAGTGACATACACACATACAGAAGAATATAAAGATAATACTTTCATCTAGTGTATTTTTCTTATTTGAGAAGATAAGCGAGCACTTAATGTCAATTGATTGGTTCACTTAATGTTAATTGATTGTAGCATCATGTGGACAACACACGTAACGTTGCAGATACGCTGCTACCTCTTAATGAAGTGACCCTGGTTACCTTACTTAACAGAGAAAACGCGAAAGTATAATACATATACTTCACGCCAGTCTTCTGTGCGGCCATGGTTCTTCCCCGTACGAGCCTGCCCATCCGTGCAAAATTAGTGCGTGGCCCTACCATAAAATATACCACAAAACAGAAAAAGTCATAACAGTTACTGTCTGTGTTACGGTGAGTTGTGATAATCAGAACAACACCTTTGTATAGGTGTTTTATTAACAGCGATAGTACTACAGAATGCTTCTTAACAATCCCATACATCTGGGAAATATAGAAACCATTTAGAGTAATTAGAATATAAAAAGAAAACCGAATTTTTATATAAATAAACTCAATGTTTTTGTTCAAGAGTATGTACCAATTGAGGTGTCAGCCAGATTTTCGTTTTGGATTGTGCCTTCCGGAACGTCCATCGGAGCATTACTTGAGTTTCCATCCAGAGGGGGTAGCTGTAAAATAAGAAAATACATCATTTAACAATTGAGCCATCTTTATGTTTCGCATATGTACATATCGCAATTTCTCAAGTTACAATAAAATATTTTTTAAACTAATAATGAAGCATGTTTTAGTAATAGTTTGATGATAACAAAAGTAACATGTGTATATGTACATATTAAATACATTCTTGATTTTTTTTTTCATTTCAAACAAGTCCCTTGTGTATATGAACAGTAGCATATGAACATTTTGAAGATTGATTTGGGCAACTAGTCAGCTGATTGGCCAAATGGGCTCCAATAATTATATAAAAATAAAATCTAGTCATATAATTTCTACAGATGATGCATGTGTGATATGATTAAATGATGTATTAACAATGTAATATATGCATAAATAATTTATGTTATTCCATTAATTTTATATCTATAGGCATGTATTTTGTTATGATTGGTTAAAAAAAATATTTCTAAGCTAGAAAGTTTTCCCTAGTTAATCGTAGTTAATAAAATAACAGAGTTACCTCTGGAGCTTGCCGTGCCACCTTCCCTACCGGATGTCTTACACTGAACGGAGCGCAGCGAGAGTAGTAATCAATAACGAAATCAGGAAAAGCCTCGCCTAAGCTGTGCCCAGGAACAACATCTAACTCCAAACATCCTTGCCTGCAAAATTCATAATATAAATCAATATAATGATTGTTTGAGCAATATGCAACTGCAAATGCTTTCAAGACCTACATTGTTATATTGTTTATCTTAACATTAAGCTAAATTAGACTAGAATCAGACAAGATCCATAAATTTGCGTTTATTTCTAAATAAGTGTTATATGTACAGGGTGGCTTTTCTAAAGGTGCCCAAATTCACACAGGAGGTTCAGACTCTGTAGTATAATCTTTTATTGAAATAATAACAATTTTTTTTCCCAAAAAAATTTCAATTCCCTAAAAAACAGAACTTGTTGACACTGCGGTAGTCATTCATAAATGCGTCGTATACTTTTGAAACGAACTTGTGTGCGTGTTAGTTAGGAATGATCGGGCGTAAAATAAACGAGTTGCGTATAAATCACGCACTTTTTGAGATATGTTTAAATGAATGTAATTAATTACTTACGAGTGATTTAAATATTTATCATTTTTTATACAACATTATTTATGTCTAGAATTTAATAAAAAATTTATACACTTAATAAAGCCTCCCTGTATATCATAATAACAGCTTTATTTATATTTATATTTTAATTTTACATAATTTCTCCACACTTACCATTTCACTAGGAAATATAAAGTCCCATGGAAAAGCTGACCAGCTAATATTTTTTCTGGTGGCAATCCTCTGTTAAGACCCCGTGGTTTTTCAATTTCCTATAACAAAATCATCTATGCATAACATTGTTAGCTTTTCATACATAATTTTTGTTTACAAGTTTCTTACCTCAAGTTTCTTCTTTTTGTCACCTCTACGAGATCGTTTCCGGGTAGATGGAGTTTCTTCCACAGTCTCTGTGACTGTCAGTGCTGCCTCCCTTTCCCTCTTGAGTCTTGCCTCCTCATATGCTGAAATGAGTTCTGGACAATCTAGATTGTCTTCAGGTTCCCAAGTGTTATCTTCACTGCAAGAAGTTATGAATTTGAGTATTTTGTATATAGACTTAATTAGTATGTTCCACACATTTTGTATTTCATCACTATTTTTATAATTAATCCACTAGCTACGTGTAGGTTGGAAAGTTTTTGTTATACTTACTATAGTTTTTTTTTGTATTTTCTCTGTGATTTTTTTCTGTATATTTTTTGGAAACAAAAAACCTTAACCTAAACCTAAAAGCTTAGTATTGATCTAAGAATGTTTAAATTTAAGTCTTCTAAAAAATACATTAATATTAATACATAAATGCTTAATTCTTCCCTATACACTGACACCATCATCCCTCTTTCCTTTTGTTGTAAACATTCTCTGTTTCTAAAGGTTTGCCTTCATATTTTAAATAGATTACGACTATGAGTAGATACATTTCAGTAGATTAATCTGTCTGCATTTCCCTTCTATCACATTGTGGGTGACTGCAATGTGAGCGTGAATAGGCTTCTACTACTGAGTTAGTGCGTTAACCACTAAGAGTAATAAAGCATTGCCTAGTATTATGTACTAACAAAAGTGTAACACTGACATATTGATTGTTATACTTTTGCATTTGGGATGGGATTGTCGTCAAGCACTCCAGTCCATGATGAAAAATTGTTCATGCATTTTTTGAGCAGGGAAGGCATATTCGGGTAAATATTTACTGGGTACACTTTACATCTCTGACAGAGTTAACAATTTCTCAGACATTCAAATTTTTGGTGTTAAACATTTCTGATGAAATAAATTGTGCCATGACACTTTATTACTTACTTAGAGTAGCCTTTCCACTTTAGTAGGTATTCCACTTTGCCATTTTTAATTCTTCTATCTAGAACCTTCTCAACTGAGAACTCTTCATGTCTTCCTGATTGTGGGCCAGTCGGTGCTGTTGATGGAACTACACCGATTTGTGCCTGATCACTGTCTGTCTCCATTGGTTGACTTATCGGCATTGAAGGGACATTCTCCGCAAAATCTGGTGGTTGTATTTCCATTGTATCATCCATTTTCAACCTAAAAAAACATAGGTGTATTAATTTTTTAATTTAAATAAAGTGAATTTTTGTATTAACGTCCATCGAATTTAGGGGCGGGTGGGGTGCGGGGGGAAGGGGAGGGGTATTACCCCCCTTAAAAGGAAAAGTTGCAGATTTTCACATTTTTTAATATTTAATTTTGAAGAAATTTTGGTTAAATTTTCCACTAGCAGCGGGTATTTTTCGACCTAAAAAAATTTTAGAAAAATCGCTCATGAAATAATCAACAAGTAGTAGAATTCTCCGGTCGCTTATAGGTTCGAGAAAAAAAATATTTAAAACTTTTTATTTTACCTAGAGAGATCCGCCATTATCAGCCATATTAATAAAAGGGTTTTTAAAATACTCAAACTACTCTTGCACTGACGTTCTGGGTGGTCATATAAAAATTAACCACAAAGGCTAAGGCGGGAGCGGAGCTCCCTTCTTAACCTTCTAACCTAATGTATCCATGTCCAATATTTTTTTCTCAATAACTACGGGTTTCTGCACTTTGAAACTTTGCGTGTGTTTATAATAATGTAACCTTACTGTAAAAAAATATCAACCCGCAACTCAACGGAAGCCAATGGAAAACTGAGCCAAAAAGAGTTCTAAAAAATAATTAAAACAAATGTGAAGTCGACTAATTTGCCGTGCATGCCTTTATTCTCACACTGGGAAACATAATAACAAGTGGGCGGTTATTTTATACTAATACAAAGAAAACAAATACCATCCTAAACAACCTTAAAATTAGTTTGAAGGAATTAAATTAATTAATTTAAAAAAAAAATACTTGTATTTGCATGGTTACAAATTATAATTGAAACTTTTTTACGAATTTATCGCGTTTATTTTTAATATAATAACCCTCGGGTGTAGCAGATGTTTATGGGCGGCGGTATTCACTTAACATCAGATGAACTGTCTGCTCGCTTGACAACTTTTCACATAAAAAATAATATAATTCCCGACATTTTGAAACCTTTACAGCGATCATGGTCACGGATCATACTGAAATAAACTCGATAAATCCGTAAAAATAGTTTCATTTCTAATGGATACTTATATACAATTTTAAGCAAGTTAACAAATTGAATAAATACCAATATATTCCTTTAACGCCTTCTTTCAGAATAAAATAACTTTACGGTAAACTATTAATTAAAGAGTTTTAATAAAGTTACAAAATCTACAGAGGGACTCCAAAAATCAGAGAACACAAATACAAATTATAAACAATCCAATTAAAAACATAACCTACCATCGTATTACGTCAACTGTCAACCTACAGGTAAAACAAATCATACAGTTTATCAACTAATAACTAACAGCATAATGTTATAATTATAATCTATACGCCCGGTTTCTGAAACACTGATCATCGTAGAGGTTAACTAATCAGCTTTCAAATGGCTATCCAAATATGATTTGAGTTACCAAAAGGATGGTTAAACTCTCTGAATTGATAAGAATGAATCTTTTAGTTTGACTATACATTTAGCAACTCAAATGAAAATTCGTTTGCTGCTGACAGCTGATTACTTAACATCTACGATGATCAATGTTTCAGAAACCCAACGTAAGTACGAGATAAATAATCTTTTATGATGCCTTTTCAAATGCCTTCAATTATTACTGCTTTCAATTCCTTTCTGATGTTCCAAAATCTTTTATAGATATACTTCTATTACAGTAATAACTTTTACTTTGCCTCATTGCCGATTAAAGGAGAATAACTATGTTGATTGATACAAATTCCTGTGTAATTTTTTTCTAGGCAAGATAATTACAGAATGTTGCCCTGCTCGTTTGCCCCTTTTCTCCATAAAAAAAAAATGTAAACGTACTATCTGTACGTCTGTCACCAGACTGTATTTCATGAACCGTGATAGTTAGACAGTTGAAATTTACCTATATGATGTATTTCTGTGGCTTCTATAACACCAAAGACTAAAAAACATAATAAAAAAATATTTAAGTGGGGCTCCCATACAATAAACATGATTTTTTGCAGTTTTTATTGATGGTACGGAACCCATCGTGCGCGAGTTCAACTCGCAGTAAGCTGGTTTTTACATTCATGTTTAGATTATTAGCTCACAAATAAAGAACAATGCCCATTTTTGACCTGATTATGTATAGAAGTGAAATAAATATTAAAATTTAGCTAATTTCATTTTATAGTAATTACACTAATCACAATGTTAAAAGAAGGTCGGAAAAAAAAATTTTTTTGATATTTATTTACGCTTATTTTAATTCAAGGGTAAACATATTACCATGTTTTGAACGCACCTTAGCAATCCTTTGCATAGGACGTTCGATTTTTCACACTATCTACTTGACTGTATTCAACTTTTTCTGAGTTTTTTACGTGATTTTACGTTTTAGAGAAGTGAGTAAGCACGTAATTAACAGTATTTGTATATAAATTAAGATTAATCTTATCTGTACTACTAAGATTTATTAAAAATAAAATAGTAAATTATTAATGCAGCATGTAATAAAGTTCGCACGGCTGACGTAAATGGATTTTTTTTTTTGACATTTGACAGTTCTGCGAGTGACTCATACCACAGAGTACTTTTGTATATAGGGAATTAGGGAAGTAATGCTCATACTCATCGGTATTCGCCAGTAATTGTGAGTATTTATGTTTATTATTTTTAATCTAAAAATGTCAATCATGTCCTAATCAAACTGACAAAGCTCCTATAAATTATACCTGTGACATAATACAAACAACTGTTCAAAAGATCTATATATCCAAAATATGTCTTATAAACTCAATATACGTTTTTTTTATTTCAGATTACTGAGGAAGATTACATTTGTAAATCTTGTAATGAACTCTTTATGAGAAGAGTAAACCAGGAATTAACAAGCTGTGATCTTGCTCAAGCTCCAGGATTATCTCAACCAAGTCGAAGAACACAGTTTTTGATAATCCTTCAGAAAAGCAAAGACAGATAAATGCTATTATACAAACAAGTTCACAACATCACATATTCATGTTTCTACATTGTTAATCATTTGCCAGTATAAAACTTGATACTATTACTCTAGATTATTTCTCTTTTGTATTTTAGATGTAAATTATTATATCTGTTATTAATTGACTGCTGCTGTAATAATTTTAACCACAAATAAATACATAATTGTTTTTTTTTTAATATTTTTTTAAGATGAATAATAATTATTGCTTTATTACTTTTGTAGATAGTTTTCTTTTGTAGATATCATCATCTGATAGAATGTGCCTGCCATTCATGCTGGATGAGTTGTAAGAGTGCTGCCACACATATTAGGCATGTTGCTGAAGTTTGTGGTGTTTCTACTACTGAAGATAATTTATTTTTTATGTTTCTGAGATTAAGTTATTAGTGAACTTATACTATTTGCATTAAGTACCAAATAAGGCAAGCCAAATCATATAGAATAGAAATATGTAGGGACATAGAAGTTTTCTAGGAATAATCTGAGAGGAAGTAGTGACATAACACTAATAAGAGGAAAAATTAAGTCCTGGCACATTTAAAGAAAACAATATAATGTCTACATTTTAATAGAAAATAACGTGTCTGGCAGAGCTAGTATAGTCGAATACTGTTGTAATTGTTTAGTTGGTTGGCGGACCATAGAATGTTGCACTAATGTTATGGCTACTGTGGTACTTCGGATGAACTATCAAGAAAATATCTCTGTTACAGCAGAATTTCTGGGTAACATAGTTATAAGACATTTAAGTGAAGATGATGATAATTAATAAAGCATTCCACTGTAACATAGTGTTTTATTTTTTCCCCCGTTTTATTCATCAGGTATTATAATTATCGATTATTATTATGTATTGTAGTGCAGGCCAATGAAATGTGTAGGGCAGATAAATGATCACTTTTAACTTACGTTTTTTTAGTAAGTACTTATTTGTAAGCTGTTGCAACAGCAGATAATGCTCTTCACTCAATTTATAGTGACAATAATCGAGTCTAAGCAGTGACGTAAGGGCAGTCGGTTTCTAGGAATTCACAAGTATAATAATTACAATCTTATTTTCTTTGTTCTAGGTAATTGCTATAATTATGTAAATTTGTTTAGATATTCTATATATAAAAATACATATTTAACATTCATAAAATCATTCTCTTCATCATTTCATTATAAAAGTTAGGCAAAAATAAACAACCAGAAGTGTTCATTGGCGTATTCATTGAAAACCGCCAAAAAAGAAAAGAAGAAGAAGAAGAAGAATTCACAAGTAAAAAAGAAGTTTTAGACCTTAGATAGGCTAATATTATTATTTTAGTATAAACTTGAGCGTAAATAGTTAGTTCTAGCACATTTATTTCGTTATATTAGGTAACTGCAAATCCTAACCTAAAAAGTAACATTTTTTTATAATTTTTGGACTTCGTAGACCAGCAATTGTAAAAATGACTATATGATATTAATTTACTAACTTAAAGGTAGTCTTTCTGCTATACCTTGTAACTATACATACACTTTCATTATCAGGTTTTTAAATGTATGGGAAGTGGGCATTGTTCTTTGCCTTTCCGAACATAAAAAAAATTCACAGTGACTATGGTCAGGGGAATTCCACTAAAAGTTTTTAAACGCCCTATTAAAATAGCGCAAAGATTTAATATAGATGCAACATAAATTGGTTAACTGATATCACAATGGCAAAACGTTGCTTTTATCTAATGGCGGTGTTGAATGTTGATGTGTACTTTTGGACTTCAAAGAACGCTGCTGGAAATAATAATAATAAAAAATACCTTCTAAGAATTGGCTGAATTTGCAACAATGTTTTTAACATTATGACGATAAAATCGTATTAAGCCAAGTTTATTTGGTTAAAATTGAATTTCAAAACAGTTTATCAATTTCAACTCTTCTTTTACTAGTTCTTACTTTTAAGTTTCGGATTAAGAAAAGTTAACAAAAACTCTTACGAGATTCGTGACCCATCTTACGAAAATGAGGAATAATAAGGATAATAAATCTATTTGTTTCAGTTCTAATATTTTCAGAAAATTTTTCATATTTTTGTTATTTTTTAATTGAAGATTTATCATAAAATAATTTTTAGAATAAGCAGCACTGAATAATAACAGAATTGAGATTTGTGACATATGACAGTGACAGCTGATGTTATCATTTAAAATTAATAAAAATATGTTGCTCAGCTTATATTTTATATTATAGGTTATTTGCAATCTCTCGATTTTTAATTAGTTACTAGATATCCCTAGATTAATTAATGTATAAAAAGAAATCACTTATTATAGTTACTTTAACATAGGTTTAATTGATTTTATAAATGACTGACTTAGGACCATTTTCAAGTAGCACTGCGTTTTGTGCTAGATGTGGGTCCATTTTACCACTACTTCAAGAATTTGGATCCGTGAAATGTTACGCTTGCAAAGCGATTTATGATGCAGAAAGTACGTTTTAATTTGTTACGCTTTTTTTTTGTTTGATAACAGAATTATTTATTAATATACACATGCATGCATTAAGCATTTTTATTTTGCAGATTTTAGTAATTTGAAGTTCCAGTATACAATTAATTTTAATTCCGTATCAGTGGTGACACACGAAAACCTATTGAACAGAGATGACCCAGAAGGACCGGTCGTTGAAAGAAAGTGTCCCAAATGTGGAAATGACAGGATGTCCTATGCTACACTACAGCTGCGATCGGCTGATGAAGGCCAAACTGTATTTTACACATGTATAGCATGCAAGTGAGTGTATAAGTTTTGTCATATGATTTTTACACTAAACAAACCTAAAATTTTTTTCTGAAGTCATATGGACGATGAAAAATCAAATTTTGTTACAAAAATCAGTACTTGTTATTTGAAATGCTCAAACTAAGAAATCAAATGATAGATATATGTTGATTTATCACGTGCTCCGCGGTGAAGGAAAACATTGTGAGGAAACCTGCATATTTTCGAAATAATAACAAAAATAAATATATTTCGAAGATATGTGAAGTCCGCCAATCCGCAGTGGGGCCGCGTGGTGGACTATGCCCTGATACCCTCTGTATAGAGGAGGCCTTTGCCCAGCAGTGGGACATGTATAGGCTGTTACTTTTTACATGTACATTTTGTTTTATATTTTCTAAATAAGATGGTTTTGATTTCCTGTAACTTAATTTGGGCCATTCAAATAATCATGCAATTAAACAGATAAATTTTAAGTTAATTTAATTTATCATTTCAAAAAAATGATGTTGTAGGTTATATATTGGTTTGAAATAAGAAAAACATCACAATTGATTGTAGGTTTCTTCTCACTTCTACTTTGACTGAATATTTTTTACAATTTAATTACCATCAAACAACTTATTGATCAATATTGATTACCATTAAGTAACAAAATATGAATTTATGGTTTCTTTAATTTACAAATGCTGCAATTTATCTTGTTTGTTTGTAATCTTCTTTCTCCTGTCTTTATTCAACCTAAGTGGGGTTCAAACATGAAATTTCTAATAGTATTGTCTAGGTTTTGTTAGGTTATGTTAGTTGAACTGTCATATTGCAATGCAATAGCTTTTGCAGTTGTAAGAATGGATAGGCTCGTTCTAGGAAGTACCACAGCCAGGAAAGCCATGAAATGTATGCACATTCACATTTCATCATTAACCAGGGCCCACTTTTTTTTGAACAAATTTTTTATGTCTATGGTGGGCAGTAATAACTTGCCATCAATTTGGTCACTACGAACAGGTGAACCACCAGAGACAAGTTGTACTATATTATAATTTTATAATCCAAAAAAAGCTTTATCTGCGATTTTTTTTACATACTGCTATAATTTTTTTCTACTTTATCTCTTCTATTTTTCTTAAGTATAGACCCATGTTATTTATTGACCTTTTTCCCTTCATTTAACGGCATAAAGGCAATGAAAGTAAATCTTGGTCAACATTTTTCTTTAATTTTATTTATTCAAAAATACCAGAAAAAATCTTTCCATTAAAAATATTATACCTGGCCATATGGAACAATACTTTTATGGGTTAATTTAATTATGCTTTAGAATGATCTTCTTAGTGGTCATTCTGATCATTAAGATCATTCTCATCAATTCAGAGAGTTTAACCATCCTTTTGGCAACTTAAATAACATTTGAAAAGCCAATTGACAGTTGATTAGTTAAATTCTATTATGATCAGTGTTACACAAACAGGGCATAAGACTTGTTGAAATTTGACCCGATTGAAAATTAATACTAATATATCCTTAGATTATTTAACTTCCTGAATTTATATTAAAGGTATATATAGGTATTTTACAGTTATTATATGTATATATATATATATATATATATATATACATATAATAAAAATATGTTGATTATGAATAGTAATTCTCTTAATATTATATAGTTTTTGTACATTTTATTTTATGTGAGAAGTTGGCAAGTGAGCTAGCAGTTCACCTGATGTCAAGTGACAACCACTGCACATTGACATTTGCAACACCCATAGGATTGCAGATGCGTTTCCACCTTATAATACAGGGAGCCCTGGCAACCTAACTCACCAGACGAAATGCAGAAGTATAACACTTCCGCTTCGCCGGTCTTCTGTGAGCTTGTGGTAGTTACTCAGACAGACCTGCCCTATAAAATATATTATAGGTGTTTTACAAAGTCAATATATGTGTATAATTGCATTAAATATTATTTATTATTTCAGGTACAAAGAAACGGAGAATTCGTGATACCAGAAATATTTTTTCAGCATAAGATAAAATAAAAAAATTGTCACATTGTGTTCCTTTCTAATTCCTTCAACCTTTCCAAATGTAGTGATGAAAACGTGTTTTCATTAGCAACCCGTTCATAGTAAACACGAAGGCTAACGTATCTTTGGCCTACTTTGTTATCGACAATGGAGCTTGTTTAGCAACACTAGTTGTTATCAACTCGCTCGAATCTGAATATACCAATTTCGACTCTATTACCTAAGTATTGGGGCCAGCTTCGTAACGTCCACATAGGCCGGCACAATCTTGCATTGTATTGCCCACCGTACGCATATCAAAGGCGCCGGTTACAGATTGGTTCATTCACAAGCCACAGGTGAAAACATCCCGTTTTAGGTTCGGCCCGCATCACTCGAAAGATTATAAATATTTTTTTTATGCCAAACAAAGCTGGAGATGTATCACTGCCTGCGTGCGAGACAGAGATAAAAATCTATAACTTTTTCACCTCGAGTTGTAATATCCTTAGACCGTAATTAATTTGATGGGTTTATGTGAGTATATGCATGAAAATCTCAAAATCCTGTGAGTTGGCAGATGCATTTCCCACCTTTAAAAATTATGCTTCGGCTACTTCGTCTCACTATTCGTCTCATCAAACAAAACGCAAAAGTTTAAGACTTCCACTTCGATCCTCTGTGAGTCTGGCACCTGCCACGCAGTGCCACGATCCACTCACCTGCAACAGGAGAAGCTGTTCTGTGAGTGTACCACTTTAAAACTAAGAAACTATGCAATCATTACAATGCAGTCTAACAGATTTTCCTAAGATAACGCGTTTACCGATTCCCTTGAATACCCTTATGTTAACAATCGTTGGCAGGTTAGTTGATCCACACAAACAGTTATTTGATTGCTAGTGAAGTAAATAAATTATCCCAATACTTCTATTTAAAACATTTTTACTAACGAAATCAAAACCGACATACAAAATTTCGCTCAAACATTTCCCTTTGAGTTCCCTGTTGAAGTTTAAGGGTAGTTGAGTAGAAAGTTCCCTGGTGTATCTTCGAAATCAAAATCCAATGCCAAAGAATTTCAAATGGGAAACCAGTATCTTCTTTACAAAAAATAAAAAGAATTTTCCAAATCAGTTTATATCAGTTAACAAACATAAAAAAGTACAACCCATTTGAGAACCTTCTCCTTTTGAAGTCGGTTGCAAAATGTCATTTTCATTAATAAATTAGAAAAATATTCTTAAAGAAAATGTGTTATAAAAATTTGAATTTGTTTTATAAACCTTCTTATAACGCGTTTTCTGTTAACGCGATGAAAATTGAATGAAACGATTTGAATGACATTTAGAAGGGGGAGCTCATCAATTATTTACAATCAATCGTTTAAAATTGTCTATGCTTTGAAAAGCCTCACGGACGGAGCCGCGCGCAATAGCTAGTCAGAAATGTATATATGGAATTTTCATCGATATCGTTGGCTGCACGCACTAAGCGAGGGGGCCGCGCGGCAGGTGCCGGGTAGACGCGGCGGCGCGCCAGTCTCTCGCGACCGTAGCTCTGATCACACGTCGCGCTCACGCAGCCTCCATTCCGACACGTGCGTGGCGCAACCCTGATTTGTTGTTAACTCGAATTGCTTTTATTTTGTGCTCTGTGGACTTGTGAGGGTTGTCAACTGCCACCGGCGTAATTTCCCACCCTAGGTAAGTCACGAACCGTTCTAGTTTCGAATTTAAGCTATTCGGGTTATATTTTGGCTTTAAGTTCGGATGTCTATTAATTAATCAAGTTTGTAACGTCACTAGAGATTATGATACACTGTGTAGTACGTTTAGGCGAATAAGTATGTCGGCGGATGAATTTGATTTTGTGTTCTGTGTTAGTAAGTATTTCAAAATCTTGCGAATGAATGTAATACAAAAAAATTCTTTGAGATATTATGTATTGTCTTACTAAAAGCGTTGTTCAGATAGCAATAACAAAATTAATAGTATGTTATGTGAGTACAAAAGACATCAACGGGCGCAAAGCTAAGTGTCGCTAATAAAGTTTTCTTTCTAGAAGCTTTTTACGTTTTGTATGCTGAATTGAGGTTGAGAATTACTATCGTGACTTGCCAGTTACGGTCTATTATAAATATGTACTCAAAGATAAAGTTACCAGATAAAAATGACAATCAGAAAGCATAAAATATTTAATGAATGTATGTAGTTTTTTAATCTTAGCTGAAACAACTTTATAATTTTAAACGGCAATAAAAATTATAATTTTGTATAATGTAAAATAATCTATTTGCCCTGTTATATTTAAAAAAAATCTTTAGAGATGTAAATAATAAAATGTGATAAAACGTTACATCTGTAAAAATCGTTATTGTGTTTATTAATATAAACAACTTCTTTTATCAGATCTGATGTATATTATTAATAAACAGACGATATCTATACTTTCATAGTTAAATGTTTCGCTTTTCTGAAACTGCCGTTACATTATTTAATTATGTATAATTCCTGACCGACATTGGAGTCGTTTCGATATTATATTGTTAATTGTTGGAAACAGAATATTTTAGCATATTTTTGTGTTAAAGCAGTGAATGGCGGTCGAATAAACTTAGAGTTGTCAGAATGTTGAATGATATAGTCCATCCACAAAACTGTGCCGGCGTATTTCATATGCAACTGCTCCAAAATGTTGTATTGGGTTCCTACGGAATCGATTCTTTTAATCGTGTCGATAATCGAATATGAGTTTCTCTATCTTAAATAACTACTTTACAGCTGTAGTAAATTGACTGAAAATAGCTATGGATGTAGCAAGTAAACCTTAGTTTTCCGTAAAACTAGAATGTCAGAAGGTATGAAGTCGAAGGTGAAGCGAATAAATTAGAGTTGTCTTAGATATACCATGTTTGGTATTGATTTTAATCGTGAATGTGAGCACAATTTAAAAGCTAACAATTAATTCGTTAAAATAAGATACGAGTTGTCTTAATATAATTTTCCAACTGATTTACTGTTTAAAATTACCCGTCATTCTTAATAATTTATATACTAAATTTCAATGTATTATTACTCGCGCAAATGGTTTTTATGGAGTGCTATTGCAAGTGTCACGGCGGTTAAAGAGGGAATAGTGGTGCTCTACAGATCCAGTGACCTGATTAACTAGATAGGTTCCGGCAAATTGATGTTACAAAGCATAATTAACGGCGTTGTTAACAGTACTCTCAGAATCATCCTCATGATCATCAAATTGTTCCGTGTAGTTTCTATCATAATTCGACAACTAAACAATCTTTTGAAATTATTAGTACTTTTACATAAAAGCAAAGTTAAGTTATTTCAGCTTGATATGCGACATTGCACAGAAATAGTTGCAGTCACGTTAACTCGCCATCGTATTTTAACGTTCTGTCTTGGAATTCAAATATTTTAAATCTTATTAATTGTACTTACTAATTGACTTAATAATTTTTATACTGTGTCTACAGGTTCAATGAGCTTTTATCTCTAAAAGCGAAAAAGCTCGTAAATCGTTATACCTAATATTTGCTTGTTACTTTCGGACTTATGTTCTCCTTAAGATGGGTTACAAGAAAATCCGACAATTTTGACACTCTGTATTAACATAATTTTAATTTGTATTTTAAAATTGTAAATTTGGTAATTGATACATCTAGCACAATCTGCGCAATATTATCACCTTCACTTAAGGTCATATTGTCATAGTATGTTAATACCACCATCCACAGATATGTAAGTACGAGACATAAATATGTAAGTACAACAGTATCTAAGAATTTGAGTAAAGGCTGCCATAATTAACTGTGTTAACGGCCACGCAACAGAGTTAACTGTTGTACTAATGGGTAGGACCGTCCGGGTAAGTACCACGACCTCACAGAGTACTGGCGTAAAGTAGAAGTGTTACATGCACATCTGCGTTTCGTCTGGTGAGTGAGGTAGTCGGGGCCTAGTTAAATTAACGGCGCCAGTTCGTTTGACACTTTCTCACATAAAAAAATATCTATGATAGTAAAAGTAAAAGTAAAGTAACAGCCTATACATGTCCCACTGCTGGGCAAAGGCCTCCTCTATACAGAGGGTATCAGGGCATAGTCCACCACGCGGCCCCACTGCGGATTGGCGGACTTCACATGTCTTCGAAAAATATTTTTTTTTTGTTATTATTTTCGAAAATATGCCAGGTTTCCTCACGATGTTTTCCTTCACCGCGGAGCACGTGATAAGTCAGCACTTAAAGTTAAAAACTTCATTGGTGCCGGTACCGGGGATCGAACTCAGGTTGCTCGAGTATATTGAATTAAAGGCGAGCGCCCGGACACTGAGCTATCATACACTGGTTTCCCTTCAAAGCGTATAAATATTTCTATGATAGTGCTAAATAAAAGTTATTAAAATTATTTTTAGTGCTAATAAAATATTAAAGATATAAACGAAATGCGAATTGAATAGAAAAAAAATTGAATAAATAAACTCGATTCGTACATGACTTCTGGTCATCTCTACCAGGCTCCAGGCTTTAGGCAACTGACCAAAGTGGCATGTGTCCTCTCGGCGTGAAAACCTCCACAATTATCTACTTTTTAACTACCTTCGGACTCGAATTGCCATTTTTAGCAATTCTAACCCCGAGGCGCCAAAAGATAAATTTCGACTAAAGACATTTAATTTAATCATGTACTTCAATAATTGTTATCCGAGGCCTGACATATTAAGTTATGGTCGTCATCGTAGTTACAGTTGGTCTCTTATCACTCGTCCGACTGGTACTAATTATTTTACGGGCTTGTTTGATCAAAAATTCGGATTGTAATTATTTGATACAGTGACTTTTGTAAAGACGCAAACTGACAATTCGACGAACATTGTAACGAAGTACACAAGAAAAGTAGGTTGACCGTAAATAAAAACTAATTAGCCCACTGTCTCGATACGCGTGTCTTTCACGCAGTCTTAACAGCCATTT